CTCGATTTATGTCCGCCACGAAAAGAAACCGTGACTTCAAGAAGAGGGCTTAAGGCCCCGCTACGCCGAATTCCCGCAGCGATGTTTAGGCATTTAGCATGCCGTTCGCGAGCCTCGTGCGTCTTCTCAATTCTACCCGTTCTCAGAGGTGCTGCACTCGGTCCTTTAACCAGCGTGGCGTCCAGCCCATTAAAATACTTCTTAACGAACTAAACCATACTTTTTATTCCTTGTATCCACTTCCCCTCCCACGGACAATTCCTACGAGAAGTTTTAAGGGGAAGGAAGAGAGAGAGAGAGAGAGAGAGAGGGAGAAAGGGAGGGAGGGAGAGAGAAAGAGAGAAAGAAGAAAAGAAAAGAAAAGAAAGCTCTTGTTATCGCAGGGAGACACGATACGAGTTCTCTGGGCGCTTCATTCGACCGATCCCGAATTAAATACAGCGATTTGGCCTGGTGACAAACGTGGTGGCAGAGCTTTGAGATTGAAAACCCCTGCCCCTCACGCACCTCCCCGATACACCGAGGATATCAAGCATTGGGACGTAAAATTGAATCAAGTAAGTTTATATATATATATATATAGAATTAAAATATTCAAATCGTGCCACATAGTAATATGTATATATAAATATATCTTAGTCTTGGTTAATCGTACGTTCTTCTTGATGCATAGCCACCGGTTTCAGACAACGTGGACACCACCTACTGGTGCAAAATTTTCAAGGCCCCTCACAAAGAGAAGCACCACATGATCGGGGTAAGTGTGCAAATCGAAAATTTTATTCGATCAAAATTCGACGAGACGCGTGCGTGTGTCTCTTATCCGTGTGTGTGTGTGTGTGTATGTGTATACGTCGGTATATTCGTTTCGGAATAAGTTTTCATACTCACGATGAGTGCGAAGGAATGTGATAAGGTTGGGCCTGATTCGTATGTGCTCCACGAATCACGGTCATCCATGCCGGACATGGCACCGTGTGGACGAACGTCATTGGAATAAAGAAGGGCCTCGCGGAATGATGTCATTCCGTGCTCCGAAACGTTCCCCGATTCTCAATGGGGAATCTCCGTTCGTCGAGATTCTCTCGGACGAGAGACAAACAGAGACAGAGACAGAGATAGATAGATAGATAGATATATAGATAGATAGATAGATAGATAGATAGATAGATAGACAGATAGATAGCTAGAGATAGAGAGAGAGAGAGAGAAAGAGAGAGAGAGAGAGATAAACAGAGACAGAGATAAATAGATAGATAGAAATAAATAGATAGAAATAGATAGATAGATAGATAAATAGATAGATAGATAGATAGAGATAGAGAGAGAAA